TGCTACAGACCCAGTAGAAATATATAGTTTGTATTCTTCTCTAACGTTTTCAACAAAAATCTTATCTGACATACTGTGGTTAAAAGATACAAACCCCTGAGATTTAACCTGACTTAGCCCCCTGGAGTCGCCATTCTTTTTACCACAACAATTTAATCTTACGTGTCCTACTTTGTTGCATTATTGACACATGGGGAGTTTTCGATTCCATGCACCACTTTGACAAGATTCTGAAAATTTTAAATACTTATTTAGAGAATTCGAACTTTTGCTATTGTTTTTTATAAGAATTGAGAGACTAGTCAGAGTTATATGGTTGATTTGACATAGGACTTCGGTTTGGGTAACGCTGAGCCATGCTGGTAGTATAAGAATAAAATTATATATGAAATGAATAGTGTGTTCATTAATATATGATAAATATCATCTATCTCATTGCTAATATTGTTATGATTTTGTTGGCTTCTTATTCCTCAAATTTCATTAACCAGCCTATTAAATCAACATGTTATAAGAAGTACACGTGGACCATCTTTTGTTTAATCATATATATATATATATATATATATATATATATATATATATATATATATGTGTGTGTGTGTGTGTGTGTGTGTGTGTTTGTGTGTGAAAGGTATATTTAGGTACCAAGTATTCATCCTAAAATGTTTGATTAAAAAGAAACGACAAGATCTATCTGTTCAAATGTTTATTGTATTTTCCTTTTTTCGAATAAGGTGTGTAATGGGATTAAAATTCTTCATAAACATGTCCGAAGATCACGCGAATATTACTGTTTCGCACAAGTACTTGTGATCGTTTCAGTCGTTTAAAAAAAAAACTAATATGGTATATGTGTGGCAGGCAAAATTCTACATCCAGGTATTCTTTGGAAAGCTGAAAGTTGGAAACAATTACGGTGACGTCATGAGTAACGGTTATCGCCAAAAACAAAAACAAAAATGCATATATATATATATATATATATATATATATATATATATATATGTCTACATAGATATAATATTTTTATTATAATAAATTACAATAAAAACATTTTATATTGCTACATAAAACCTTTCATGTTTCTTAACTATAATAGTTCCTCTTCAAATTTCCAAAATAAATCATTTTTATCATGTATTAAATATATATATTAAAATGTAAATTTTTTATTGTTATTAAAAAAAAAACATTGCTCAATACAAACAGTAGAGCATAATATTATAATTTTTTATAATTTTTAATTTTTTTTTTGTTTTTAAATATGATTCCATCACGACATTGAAATTTCTACGTTTCAAAACTGAAGCTAAAATTTAGATTGCCTGCGCTTATAAATTAAGTAAATTCCTAAGAATGTTATTCCTAGCATCGCTTGACAATGGATTGAAACTCTGGATTTTCGGTTTAATTTTTATAATTAAATTTACAATTTAGAAATTTCTGTGTCACAATGGAATCATATTTTTAAAAAAGAAAATAATTACAATATATATATATGTGTATATATATATATATATATATATTGCATTAATTTTTCGCTATTTAGTTTAAATCGTGCTCTCCTAACCAACCGAATAACAAACAAATATTAAAGCATTTACGACTATTATGGCTGACAAAATATTTAATATGAAACTTGGCTGTTCAATATTTTCCCAACGACGACATTACTCAGTCAGATATGAAACATCCTCTTCCATCATTGTTAATAGAAAGATGATGGCACCTCACTCCGCAGACGAAAAGAGTGCTATTCAGAGGTGAACGGCACATTTCCGTCGTCCCGCTGCGTTTCATATATCAAATTATTGAGAGCTCCTCAAGGGAGAGTGTCAAGCGACTGTTAATACTTATTGAGATGACACTTCGGATAAAGGTTTATGCGTCGAGTAATTGTTTTTAAATCGCTCGGCTTCGTTCGCGATCTATAGCCAACATGATATACTATCATATGTCAACCGGCATTCTACGCGTTGATAGATGGGAACGCATGCAAATATATTTGGAAGAGTTGATTCGTTAATACGGTTTACAATTTATTTATCGGCAAAGACTTTATAGGCACGTGAATTAAAATAAGAGCGTTGTTTCTTATAATGCCATCAATTACACATATAGAGATATTTACTGTGCTTTACATATATACTGGGTGTAACAGCAAAATTGTCCAAATCGTGTAACAGCATAATTGTCCGAATCGTGTGACAGCAAAATTGTCCAAATCGTGTAACAGCAAAATTGTCCAAATCGTGTAACAGCATAATTGTCCAGCCTAAACAATATTCAATATTTAAAAAAAAAAAAAAAAAAAAAACTAAATTAATTAAGTTTTTTTCTTCCGGGTTTTCAGATGAAATGTTTAAACACCATTTGTCATAAGAATCACTGAAAAAAAAACACACTTTGCGTTATTCAGCTAGAAAGAGAACAGGTTAAAATCGATTTGGGTCAGACCCAAATGAGCAATATTGAGAAGAAAATGTTGATTCAGGCCTTCAGCAATGGTAACAACATTTATACTCTTCCATTTTCAAAGTCCATTCAAGAGCCATCAAGAGAATGATGAACAAGTTTAAAAAGGAGGCAACAGTAGAGATGAAAACTGGATCAGGAGGTCACAACAGGAATAATAATTATCATTTCAACTTAGAGATCAATTAGAAAAGATCCAACTCAATTCATAAGACGTTTGACACGCGAGAGAGAAGTTTCAGCTATGACAGTCGAAAGAGTAGTGAAAAAAAACTTGAAAATTAAATCGTACATGAAATCTGTGAGGCACCTTGTTATTCCACGACATAAATTTAGGCTAGAGGTGAAGATCATCTTGAATAAGTCAGAAAATGATGCTGGAATATATATATATATATATATATATATATATATATATATATATATATATATATATTCCAGCATCATTTTCTATATATATATATATATATATATCAATGCGAGGCTTTTCAGTAAAATGAATGGAACACTATGACTGCTTGGCGTTTGTCTACGTTTGTAAAAACAATACGCTAGATTTGGCTGACTCATTCTGTCAAGGGAAGATGACTCCGTGGTAGAAGCACTGACTGGCACCAAATCGGTTGTGTTTCGATCAGGGCTTGAGGCATTCGACTGTCTAGTCGCACTGAGGAGCTGTGATACAGCGAAACAGTACTGGCTGCGAATGAAATAATTTAGCTCTTGAAAATATATTTTCAATTGAGCACTGCTGAACGACAAGCTAATTCTAAAAACAGCGGTCAACTGCGTAAATGGGAAGCTCTTCTGTAAAATGAATGGAGCACTTTGGCTGCTTGGAGTTTGTTTACGTTTGTAAAAACAATACTCTAGACTTGGCAGACTCAATCCGCCGAGTGAAGATATCACAGTGGTAGGAACTCTGACTGACAGCAAATCGGTTGGGTTTCAATCCGGGCTTGTCATTCGGCTGTCTAGTCGCACTGAGGAGCTGCGAAACAGTTCTGTCGGCGAATAACATTATATATATATATATATATATATATATATTTGAATTTAATTCAATCCTTCATGAGCTTCCGATCCTTAGCTATGATTAATTAATGATGAACATGTCATTTTCGTTAATGATCGATTACATCACGATTCTTCTGTTAAGTGTCTGTTAACTACACACACACAGAAAGTGGCGGAAATCTTAAAAAATTATTCAATTTTTTTTAAAATATATGTTTGGTTATATCGTCCAATCAATTTCACTTATTTTCATTTTGTTTATGTTTCATCACATGTGTTATTAAATATGCCATCTTGTGATAATAGATCTGCCAATAAAGAAGAAATGTTGTAAGAACCTGGACGTGAAATTACTGTGTATCATTTAGCGATTAAAGCACTTTCCATACAATGTTGTCTTTGTTAATTGATTTCTCTTTTAAGTAAATTACATTTTTAATTCGAAATTATAGCCAGACCTATTACGGTGAGCAACAAATGAACTGAATAGGTTGTTTTGTAAAATGTTGAGTAGAGAGAACACCGAATTTCTTTATACTAATTATTGAACGTGGACTAATCCATCCGCTGAGTAGAATTTCTGCTAATAGAAACGGACATCGCAAAGTGAGTCACTCAACCTTTTGTTTCAGTGTTTCTTATTATTATTATTATTAATCAAAGCGTTACATGAGCTTTATAACATAAAATATGCATTTTGTCATCATATAATCATTAGATTTTTTTTTATTTAAATGTGTTCAGAATTATCGCATGTATTTCATGTGGCAATTATTACAAGTGATAGATTAAATTCCACTTTCAAATTTTGGCTTATTATTATTTACTTTTGTGTTAATGAAGTATTTTATTGTTTTAGAAATATTTATAGCAAATTTTATGTTAAACAACATATATATATATATATATATATATATATATATATATATATATATATTTATATAGGATGCGATGTGTAAATTGTCAACATTTTGTATTTTGATTTCGCGCATGCGCTTTTTGTTTTTGATTTTGTTAACTGCTCAGTGTAGTAGGGTCAATTTTTGAATTTGTAGGTCTGATGAATTGATCGTGATTACGATTCCATTGTAATAAATTATAATCATGGAATATTAGTGTTTCATCCTTTTATATTATATTTTTGGTCTGTCCTGGACATTGAGCTCTACCTGGATTCTATCTTGTAAATTTATATATATATATATCTATATATATATATATATATATATATATATATATATATATATATATACAAATATAGATAACTATACTCGTTTCGAAAACCATTGAATTTTTTGATTTGCCAATAATCAAATCAATCTCGAGGGAAAAAAAGTTTTAAAAAAAGAAAGAGCTACAAACATGAAAGTCTCTCGAAAAAAATCGCACAGATGCAGGTTTGAAGCCCAAAGAAAAAACCTCGATACGAGTAAACTCCAAAAATATCCAAATTTCCCTGACGATCCGTTTAGGTGAAACCTAGGTAGGTTTTTCTGGCTCACTAGGTGTATGTATCTATCTATCTATCTATCTATCTATCTATATATGTTGACTATTACTAATATTTAATATTATCTATCTATCTATCTATCTATCTATTTATCTATCTATCTATCTATCTATCTATCTATCTATCTATCTATCTATCTATCTATCTATATATATATATATATAATGAATTATTTGTTTAAACGTTATTTTAAATGAATACTCATATTTGTTTAACCGTTTTCTCAGATCAATGATTAAAATGGTTTCAAGTGACTGAATCATTTCAATCTTAGTACAATCCTTCATCAGTCTCTACTGACTGACGCTACAAAGCCACAAAAAATTTAACGAACAAAAAAATAATAAACATCATTTGCAAACTTTTAACAGCAGCAACAACTAAAATGAATATCACATGTAACTAGAGGGGAAACAAATGATATAATCAAGCTGTTAACTTTCCACACAATTTCAAACAAAAGTTTTTGAATGAAATATTGAGTATCCCCAAGGAATTTAAATGGACTTCCTTGAGAGTTACTTAAAGGAAACTAGGGGGCATTTTGATGTGTAAAATCGGTGGCTTGCCGACAGAGGATTTCGGTCTTCTATAATAATATTGGCATAAACCCCAGGGGAACTTTTCCCCAGGCAGTATCTCTCCTGCGTCAGGCGACTGGGTTCATTGCAAGACGCTAGGGGCAGGCCCCCAGTAGGGGAAGTGCCGAAGGGACTTTTTTTCTACGGTACTGCCAATAAACCTACATTAAACTCGACCTTTGTCAGATTTCGCTTGCGTCCTGTGCTTGCCGTTAAATACTCTATTCGCCGGTTATTTAAAGCCAGAAAATATTTTTAGATTGTAAGAATTGTTTTTTGAGATAATAATGTTTTGGGTGATATATGTCTTACTAATCTATATATATATGCGCTTGATTTATTTCTAAACGGCTTATCAACATTTTGCAGGTAATCTAAAGCCATAAAATATTTTTAGATTTTCTGAGATAATCATATGTTGTTATATATCATACTAAGTAACCTATGGCTGGAGGGAGAAGAGGTGGATCCATATCACATTTGCGTGTTAGTGAATATAAGGAACTCGACTGGATTTGAAACTAAGCTCTCCGATTTCCAATTCCGAGATGTTATCCATTACACCACCTGCACATTCAAGGTTACAATACATGGTATTTCCAAAAAGGTCACTCATCTGAATAATGAGCAGGCTTTATATATATATATATATATATATATATATATATATATATATATATATATATATATATATATATATATATATAGTTTATGAAGAAGTAGGTAATCCGTATGGGTAAACCTAAGGAGGATAAAATCCAGAGAGCTCAATGTAAATCCAGAGCAAATAATTTAAATAAAAATAGGCCATTTTAAGGTCCCATGTCATAAATTGTATGGAACCTTAAAATGGTCTGTTTTTATTTTTATATATATATATATATATATATATATATATATATATATATGTATTACCCTTGTAATATATATATATATATTCCCCTTTATATATATATATATATATATATATATATATATATATATATATATATATATATATTATAAAATTATTTGATTTAAAATATGGTTATTTTCATACACAGTTCCAACCATGTTTCAAAAATAGAAGCTAAAAAACCCCTAATTTTATTTTTGCAATTTTGAAAAATTCGCTTGAAGATGAAATGGAACTAATGCTTTTAATTTAATTGCAAAAATAAAATTAGGGTTTTAGCTTCTATTTTTGAAACATGGTTGGAACTGTGTAGCGAAAAAATAACCATATTTTAAATCAAATAATTTATAATATTAATGCTCTGTAAATTTACATTGAGCACTATTTTGTAAAAATAAAATATCTATAAGAACACCGGATTTTATATCTTACTGTTCTTTCTTTTTATTTATATACATATATATTCATATATATATATATATTCCCCTTATAATATATTATTTGTGATTAATGTTCACTTTCTAGATTTATTAAATAGATTGTAGTTGGTATCATAATAAAATCTAAGACTCTTTTGATGGCTGTATAGTACGTTCTTCGCCTACGTTTTAAATTGGAGTTTTCCCTATTTCTTGACTGATGGCCAAGCACGCCTAGCCATATATATATATATATAGTAGTAGTTCACTGCTACTGACAAGCAGACTTTTTTTTCTCCTGATGATGGTCATGCGAGTCTAAACTTGTTCGGGAACCTAAAGGAAATAATAATGTATTAATATAGAAACCAGAAAAATTTAATTTATTTAATATTTTTTTGTTGTTCATTTTAATAAAATTTTAATTTTTTTAACATTTGTTATTGTTCATTGTGTGTATTTATATATATCAATATGTGTTATTTTATTATATGTGTTATATATCTGTGTTATGTTTGTCAATTTACTTATTTAAAAAATATGAATAGTTGATTGCAGTCCATTATTAAAGAAAGAGAACTTGAGAGCCATATTATTTTATCACGAATACAGACAAACTCTCTCTCTCACATACTTATTTTATATATATATATATATATATATATATATATATATATATATATATATATATATATATATATATATATATATGCGTGTGTGTGTGTTATTAACGGCATATGAACATTTTGCAGGTAATCTAAAGCCATAAAATATTTTTAGATTGTGTGGATATTTTGGAGTTAATAATGATTTGTTGATATATATCCTACCAAGTAACCCATAGCAGGAGGGAGAAGAGGTGGATCCATACCTTTCACAAGGGTATTTGCGCGTAAGCGAGTATAAAGAACCCGACTTGAATTGAAACTAAGCTCGACGATTTCCAATTCCGAGCTGTTATCCATTACTCCACCGGCACATCTAAGCTTACAGCCCGTGGTATTCAGAAGCCATCTAGGTACTGACCAGGCTTGATGTTACCTAACTATGGGCATCGTACAGGAACCGGTTTTAATGAAAGAAGGAATGTTAAAAAAATAAGAAACTTGAAGTAAATGAAAATGAGTCTTATATGAAAAAAAGAGAATCTATGGAAGAATAAGTCAGACGTGGGAGGTGGAGCCTTTACCATGGCTTGTTTTTTAAAGCGAGGCATCTACAAGCATTGGTTTTTGTAATATTTTTTTTACCAGAAGGGGTAGGATGCGCAGGCCTGCCACCTTGTTAATTAAGGCTTGCCTTCCTTCCCTTCTCTTCTTTATGAGAGAGACTTTATGAGTCTTTCCGCAGGCGCTCTTATCACATTATTAATTGGTCCTTGACTGAGTTTTGGGTCGCGAGACTAGGCAGTGTTTCGCAACACTTACTGTATCGATTTGGAGGCACGGTGGAGTAATGGATAGCGGCTTACATTGAGGAATCCAGTCGAATCCGTTGTATTCACTTAGGTGCTAATACCCTTGGGAAAGGTATGAATCATCTTCTAATCCCAGCTATGGGTAAATAGCAGGACAGACCGGTTTCTATAGCATTGGATGGCAATTGGCCTACGGGAGAAAGAAATGGCAACCTACTGCGGGGAAAATTCTGCCTCGTCAGTCATATATCGAAAGATACGTGTTCTCCTAAGCGTGTATCACGCATGGTATATAACTGACTACCGTACAGGACCGGCTTCTGATCTACCTTTTGAGTCGAACAGAATTTTCGACAAATCTAATGATTTGAAATAAAAAACAAATATCGCTTCATTTTTCGCCAATCATATTCAAGTTTGACTTAATCCATTTATTCGAACTGTTGTGATTTTTTTTATAAATGACACAATGTTTCAACCAAATACTCCCAAGACATCTTCATGTTTCCTTATACCTTGATTGATTTGATATCATGCATTAATTATTGTGTTATTTGCTCTCAGAATGTTGTAAACTGGAGCATACTCCAGGGAGTCACGAGATAACTAGAAAGTATTTGTTCGAAACGTCGAATCTGTGGTAACATGTATAATACACAAAATGAGAACTGCAGTTCGAATAAATCGATCAGGTTAAATTAATTTCACTTCCTCATCTCTAAAAATATGTTTCTGTCCTGGTATGACGATAAACTACATCCGCGTCCTGGGTAAGACGATAAACTATGTCCAACAGCAAGGACTCTGATCAGGAGGTTTTGATGAGCGTGGAACCACCTCTTAATTGCTGGTGTTCCCAGGTTCCCCCTGAGCCAGGGACGTAGCATCTGTTAAGGTCCTAGCTATGGGTAAATAGTTAACCCCTAAACCGGAGACAAAACACTATGAAAGTGTAAAAATAGGTCTTAATATCAGAAATTAAAAAAAATACCAGCAATACATTATTATTAGCAATACATTTTAGGCAGACATTTTTTTTTACCAGCAATAGTTTTTTGAAAAAAAAATTATTATCAGAAATAGATTTTTTGAAGGAAAAATATTACTAGCAATATATGTTTGAAAAAAATATTACCACCAATAAAAATTTTGTCGGTATTAAATAACCCATTGATATTGATATGCCGTAAAATAAACCAAACCAAACCAAAAACTAAAAATATGTTTAAATGTATTATACATTAGGATCTGGAAATCATTCTAAGATGAATTATTTACTAAGTTACTGCTAAATGCATGCGAATCCATCAGTGTTCAATCAGGGAGATGAATCCATTTACCATGTTAAAGGTCTTGTTTGGAACGTGAGTAATTTAGCAGACAACGATATCTTAGTTACTCTAGTAAAGGATATCGGGCTCAGTTTTGCGTTTCGATGTGGACCAATAAAAATCTGATCTAAGTTGCAAAAGGAAAATTAAATTTTCAAAAGTCCAGAAGCCAGTGAATGTATTAAATCACAAGTTAATATTCAAACTGTGTTTAGACAATTTTTCTTCTTTTTGAGAAAGTTCGTGCTGAGTCTCTGGTGCCAGAATACTATGGCGATTAATACAGTTCTTTCGTTGGGCCGTGTCAAGTGCCTTCAAAAGGAGATGCGAATTGCGTGATCAGATGAAAGAA